CCCCTCTGGTCACTGTTCCCCCACTTCCTGTCTCCCCTCTGGTCACTGCTCCCCCACTTCCTGTCTCCCCTCTGGTCACTGCTCCCCCACTTCCTGTCTCCCCTCTGGTCACTGTTCCCCCACTTCCTGTCTCCCCTCTGGTCACTGTTCCTCCACTTCCAGTCTCCCCTCTGGTCACTGCTCCCCCACTTCCTGTCTCCCCTCTGGTCACTGTTCCCCCACTTCCTGTCTCCCCTCTGGTCACTGTTCCCCCACTTCCTGTCTCCCCTCTGTTCACTGTTCCCTCACTTCCTGTCTACCCTCTGTTCACTGTTCCCTCACTTCCTGTCTCCCCCCTGGTCACTGCTCCCTCACTTCCTGTCTACCCCCTGGTCACTATTCCCCCGCTTCCTGTCTCCCCTATGTTCACTGTTCCCCCACTTCCTGTCTTCCCTCTGTTCACTGTTCCCCCGCTCCCCTCTGTTCACTGTTCCCTCACTTCCTGTCTCCCCTCTGTTCACTGTTCCCCCACTTCCTGTCTACCCTCTGGTCACTGTTCCTCCACTTCCAGTCTCCCCTATGTTCACTGTTCCCCCACTTCCTGTCTCCCCTTTGTTCCCCATCTTCCTGTCTACCCTCTGGTCACTGTTCCTCCACTTCCAGTCTCCCCTATGTTCACTGTTCCCCCACTTCCTGTCTCCCCTTTGGTCACTGCTCCCTCACTTCCTGTCTCCCCTCTGTTCCCTCTTCCCTCACTTCCTGTCTCCCCTCTTTTCACTGTTCCCTCACTTCCTGTCTCCCCTCTGTTCACTATTCCCTCACTTCCTCTCTCCCCTCTGTTCACTATTCCCTCACTTCCTGTCTACCCTCTGGTCACTGTTCCCCTACTTCCTGTCTACCCTCTGATTGCTGTTTAGCCATGATGTGAGGAGGTAAGGAGCCCCAGCTGCACACTCCTACCATCGTGAAGTCATGTGTGGCTGCAGTGTGGACTGTACCTCCAGAACTGTGAGCCATAATAAACCTTCCTTCCCTTAAGTTGCTTCTTTTCAAATATTTGGCTACAGTAAAAGAAAAATAGTTACTACATGGACTGCCCTAGCTTCATTCTGTTGCAGTGGTAAAATACCCAGACAAAAAACACCTTAAGAGAGAAAGGGGAGTTAGTCCGCTTTCAATTCCAGGTAAGTCTCTCTGTGGAAGTCACAGTGGTAGGCGCTAGTCACATCCGATCTAGAGTAAAGAGAAAGTAATGCAAGCATGCTCAGTATACATGAGCTTTCTCTACGCTTTATATGGTCCAGGGCCTCAGGCAGGGAATGATGCCACCCACTTTCAGACTGGGTCTTCCCACCTCAGTTAAGACAATCAAGACAATCCCCCACAGACATCCCCACAGGCCAACCAGATCTTGATAATCCTTCACTGAGAAGCTCCTCCCTGGTCATTCTACATTGTGTCAAGTTGACACAGGCCTTTGGGAAAGAATAAAGGTAAGATGAGGTCATGAGGGTGGGGTCCACATGCTGGAATTAGGGGCTTAATAAGAAGACAAAGACTCAAGCTAGCACACTTGCTCTCCATCACTGTTGATGCCCTGAGCCTGATCTAAAGCCACAGGAAGCTCCCTCCCTACCCCCC